TTTTCCCACTTACAGAAGTTAAGCTCACAGGTCTATAATTTCCAGGCAAGGATTTTGAACCCTTTATAATATAGGAACGACACCTGCCTTCCTCCAATCCTCCGGTACAATACCTGAAACAAAAGAATCTTGAAAAATTAAATACAGAGGTTTACTTATTTCACTTAGCTCCTTAAGTACTCATGGGTGAATCCCTTCAGGACCCAGATCTTTATTTACATTAATTTTCTTTCAACAGCTGTAGCACCTTGTCTCGAATCATCCAATCACAAGTTATCTGCAAGTTTTTTGCAGCAATTATTTGCATATCTCTTGCCATAGGATCCTCATTAATATATACTGAAGAAAAGTTGTTATTTAACATTTCTGCCTTTTCCTGGTCTTCATTAGTAAACAGACCCATCTCTGTTTTCAGTGTACCTACACTTTAATTTTTTGTTTTTAAAATTTAAATTGATGTACTTGAAAAATTTTTGGGCTTGGTTTTGCATTCTTTAGCTATCAATTTCTCATTTTCTAGTTTAGCCACTTCAATTTTTGCAAGCATTATTGGCTTCCTTATATCTTTTATAAGATGCATCTGATTTGTCCAATTTAAATGCTTTAAATGCCCTTTTCTTATGTGTAATCTCTTGTTTTACTTCTCTACTAAGCCACATGGGTTTTAATTTGTTTCTTTTATATTTATTACCCAATGGTACATACTGAGAAATGTACCTTTTTAATATTTGTTTGAATAGTTTCCATTTATCCTCAGTGCTTTTATCACTAAGGAGTTTATGCCAGTTGATATGTTGTAGTGCTTCCCTAATCTTATTGAAATTGGCTTTTTTTAAATTATACAGTTTTAGTATACCCCACTTGCTTTTGCTTTTTTGAGTTTATTTTAAAAATAACCATATTGTGATCACTATTTCCCAAATGCTCCCCTGCTTGAATGTTGGTCAAAGGATCAACATTGTTTGTTATAACGAGATCCAGACAAGCATCCTTTCTAGTTGGTGCTTGTACCAGTTGTGACATAAAGGTGTCATTTAACACTAGTGATGTACCGAACGGTTCGCCGGCGAACGGTTCCTGGCGAACATAGCATGTTCGCGTTCGCCACGGCGGGCGAACATATGCGCGGTTCGACCCGCCCCCTATTCGTCATCATTGAGTAAACTTTGACCCTGTACCTCACAGTCAGCAGACACATTCCAGCCAATTAGCAGCACAGCCTCCCTAGCAGACCCTCCCACCTACTGGACAGCATCCATTTTAGATTCATTCTCAAGCTGCATGCTTAGTAAGAGGAGGGAAAGTGTAGCTGCTGTTCATAAGATAGGGAAAAGCATAGCTAGGTTAGGATAAGGGTATGCTTTTTTTTTATTTTTATTTTCTATGTAATGTAAATGCACTT